GGAATCATCGATACTGAGATAAAAAAAAAATCCCACTAAATTTTTTTTTCATTGTAACCTCATGCTACGTATTTCTCGTTGTCATTTTATATTGCATACTATCTCGTTGTAAAGTGACCAAGAAATGTTTTATTCGGTACATGGAATTAAAAAAAAATCATACTCCCAAGTTAAACAATTTGGTCACAGATACTTGACAAAGATTTTTACGGAACAAAATCTAAAAACGTTGTCGATATTTTATTCGAAATTTAGAGTCGATACTTAAATAAATGCAAATCTGTGTAAAATGATAAATCAATGTTAAAATATAAATCAGTATAAATTAAGTCAGTTTAAATCTTAAAATCAGTGTAAAATGACAAATTAGTGTAACATATATTTTTTTAATATGTTTAGTCACCAATCAAGAGCCCTGGGGGGGGGGGGGGCATTTACAATCATATCAGTATGATCACATTTAAATATAATAATAGTTATATTATTACATGTATACTCATAAGTTATTGTAAAATTACAAAACAGAGTAAAATTCATTTTTTTACCATGACTTTACCACGAAAAAATAAAAATATATTTGTCCTTTAGGAAAAAACGACATTTCAACGAAACTTTAAGATGAAATATTGTAGATTAAAATCAATTTTGGATAAAGGTAAACCTATTCTTGATATCAAACGTATGAATGCGAAGAGTTTATTTGGAAACAATCAATATTATTATTCTATAGAATTCACTACATTAAAAAAAATCTATTGTGAAACAAGAAGATACCGAACATTAACGTTGATCATTAATATAACTTGCATTGAAACATTTATCTTTTTTTAATATTAAGAAATATTTGTCAAAGTAAGGATTATATGACAATATTGAAATTAATAAGTAACATAATTTGTTTTTGTAAGGAGGTGCTTTCCAAACAAGGTCTTGAAATAACTTGAAGATTTTTTTAGTTTCAATTTATTCTTTAAACCAACACGTTTCTCAGATTGATATCATTAATACAACCTATACACATAGGGACACAATTTAACAACAAAACATTTAAATATATATAATTAATTTACCATTTGTTGCATTATTTCGTAGTAAAGTAGCTTTAGCTAAAAATTTCCTAAAGTTACATAATTTTTTCACACTTTTGAGCTGAGTAAATTTGACTAATTCGAACACAATTTGTGATTATACCATTTTTTTAGCACATGTATAAAAGCGACATTTCAAAATAAAACTCATCTTCCTTGTGATAATGAACACATAGCACTCAAATTCTCTTGGATTTTAAACATTCCTGTAACAAGCTACTTCTTAATGATAAGACATTCTAAATTTAGTTTTTTATTTTCTCTTTTTTGTTTTCTCTATTTTCTTTTCTCTTCCCTTTAAAATCAATTGCTTTTGTCAAATATGACTGAAAGCCATTGAAAAAAACAGCCCTTCTGAAGACTGTGCTACCAAAGAAAAACCTTTGTTCTATGATTTTGTAAATTATGATTATGTTCTATATAGTCCTATAAGATGTACAGGAATATTTACATCCACTGAATATTTTCTCCTTTATTTCTTATAAAAACCATTATCCTTAATCAATCTATAAACTCTAAAAAACTAGTTGGAACCGGTTTTTAAGCAGTAGACCCTTCCATCAATGAAACATATCAATAATACAATAATTTACGTACTTAAACCTACTTAATATGATTATCCTTTAACAGTAAAATGTCTTTCTTTCCTGGTACGGGAGTTAACGCAGATTAGAATTATTTAACAAATCATTTATTACTGATACTCTCACACGGTGGGATGCCTTTTGTCTTAAAACAAAGAAGGAAACTTCCATTAAAACTTTTAAGAATTGTCTGCACAGCAATAGTGTAAAACCAAAAATATTTTCATATTGAAAAAGTTTCTGAATATATAACTCACACAAGACTGAGGCACAATTGTATTTTAAACTCAGACGTTATCTTTGTAACTTAATAGCCAGTCCGAACTGTTCATGAGGGTTATTAGAAGATACATATATCATCTTTTTTTGTTTTGTAAAATTTATGCAAAAGCAAGTCATTCTCTAATGAATAAGCTACTATCATTACCTGTTTTTATATTCCTATGAAGCAGAATTTATTCAAAACTTCTACACGAGAAGAGGAAAACACTAGCTGTGGCCTTCAATTCGACATTCAGATATATCGACAATGTTTTATCAATTAACAATAGTTATTTTCATTGGTATGTCGACTCGATATATCCCAATGAACTTGAATAAAAGACACTACAAAGTCTGCTACTTCTGTATTATATTTAGATATTTTACTGACTATAGACGATAAAGGAGAATTAACTACTAAGCTGTATGACAAAGGAGATGACTTTAGCTTTTCCGTCGTCAACTTTCCTTATTTATATAGTAATATTCCACAATCACCTGCTTATGGTGTTTATGTCTCCCATCTTATTCGCTACTCAAGAGCTTGCTCTGAGTACGATCAATTTTTAAAGCGAGACAGGCTACTCACTGATAAGTTGATGTTACAGGGATTTTAACAGTCTCGTTTAAAGTCAGCGTTTCGTAAATGTTATGGTCGTTATAATGACCTTGTTAGCAAATATAACCTATCATTGGGTCGTATGGCTGACTTGTTTCATACCAATTGTTAGGCCTTTGTTTTTGTACTGAATTGACTACGGATAGTTCCATGTACCTGATCAATATATAGGGCTCATGGCGGGTGTGACCAGTCGACAGGGGATGCTTACTCCTCCTAGGCACCTGGTCCCACCTCTGGAATTTCCAGGGGTCCGTGTTTATACCCTCTTCTTATATTTGTATTGTGTGTGGATTTCTGGAGATCGATCACTGTTCGTTATCTTTACCTTTTACATAAAAGCAATATGAGGTGCATATTTGAGAATTTTATTTTCTGTTAAAATGTGCTAATATGATTAATCTGTAGCATATGTGACATAAACCTTTATGATCAGTTAGACTAAATTAAAGTGTTAAATTGTTTCAGAAGAAAGATTTCTTTACAATGGAATATATAGTATTATATTAAAAAATCAATATTGTACAGGACGACAATAATGTAAATTTGCTTCAAACACAGCTAATAAATAGTTCTTACAAATATGAACAACAGAAGTTTATAAACATTCTTTTATTGTCATTGAAATTGTTAAGGTCAAGATCTAGTAAATGACTTTAGACTAACTGTTTGGTGCTAGATCCATTATGACGTCATAATCAATTTCAACTTTCTTTTTCCCGTACTTTACAGCTCTAATATAATTCTGTAGAAAATAAAGTATTTTCATGGAATTAAATTTGAAACATTGTGAAATGTAATCCCGATACCTATATTCAATTTAATATTATTTTAAAGAAGAGGCTAAGAACATACAAATTACCGTTTTCTGAGAGACTGTAGGCAATCTGGATATATTTCCTTTGTCTGATATGGAAAAAACTCCCGTATTCATGACTGGTTTTCTTAATTTTTCATTGAAAATGACAGTTTAAAATATGATTTTTCGTCTTGTTTACCTACAAACTGTGCCCCGAAACACCTTATTTGACCAAGCTAAAGTTATAAAGCATCATTAAAGGAATTTATTTCTCAAATTTGAGGAATCTGTTGGCACCTTTCATTTACTAGATCTTGACCTTAAGTACAATATTGCAATAAAGATTTCCGACGTCACAGTTTGCAGCTCATATTGTTTTAATACTCTGAACATTATAGAGTATATCTGCTGCTATGGGGGATGAATCCTTCACTAATGTACAGAATTCTGAATTTTTCAAGATTATTCAAACTTTTCAAAATGAATGTGTTCGTTGTTGTACAATGAAAATTTATATTTCGTTTATTTTAAGGAAGGATTTATTTTTCTTTTTAATACTACTTCGTATTTATATAATAGTGTTGTGCTTTGCATGCACTATGCATAAATAGTAGTCAGCGTTTGACACATAGTGCACGAGCCAGAGGCTATATATTTTATTTATTTAAAGAATGAATTTAATAGTTTCTAAGTTATACTGTATAACCTGGGTTAGGGCAGTTTACACGAAAAATGTATTCCTTATAATTTAATTCTCTATCATTAAGTGTAAAAAAATAAGACAGTTTTCCCTTCAAAATGGCCTTAAAATTCTTCAAATTTTAAATGCAACGTCAAGCGGATAAAATAACTTGTGTCTGATTCATTTGACTTTTTGTCAATAAAATATGTTCAATTCACGGGAATTAACGGTTGCAATCATTGCAGGAAAAATATATAAAACCTGCTTACATAACATGTAAGAAAACAAAGAAAGACATTTTGTTGTTTAAATACAAAGCTGGAAATAGAAGATCAAGCTTACTTATCATGTCTATTGTTGAAAGAAATATCACTATCAAGTTTATTTTCATCTTGGATATGATGTCCTCTTGAGTTTTATTAATCTTGTTCGAACTGTTCTCATATAACAGTGCTATTAATTACGAAGTCGTTTCTTCAAACCACGATCCCTGGGTCTCAGTCTCTGACGACCTATAACATTAAAGGCATATATTCTTTGTAATTGAAACTTTCCTTTTTCCAACAGCTTACCCATTGTGATGATATTAAGACAGGTGCCATCAACCCTTTAGAATTCCAAACAAACCGTTTTTCATAGGTAGTGAGGGGGTTAACCATTCTTTGTATAGCAGTTCCTAATAGCGTGTATCTAGATACTAGATAAATTAAAGGTCTTCCATACTTCTATGAAAGCATGACAGGTCCTAACAATAGAAAACATTACAAATGACGATCTCCGTTTATAACAAGTGAATGGAATGAACATCGATTTGAAATTGGAACTACGGCGTATAATTCCGTCCCCCGATTTCTATAGATTAATAATTAGGAAGCGATCTCTTAGCTTGGCGCATGCGCTAAAAAGGATGCCCAATTTTGACGTAGTTTGCTTCAGCAACTCCTTAAAACTCGTGTTCTAGTGGAGACTGTTGAAAACTGTGATATCCTCCAGACGGTGAGTTATCATTCTATTTAAAGTGAAAACTTATTTTCAACTAAACGTTTAACATTTAACCTTTTTTTTCTTAAAAAGTGAATGCAATTTAAACAAAGTGTTGATATATAGAAAATATTTACAGAGGAAAGTACTTGCTTAAATAGCAAATTAATCAAAACTTAAGAAAAATTGACAAGGGATAAATATATGTAAGTAAATCTGGTAAAACTTAAAAACTGGAGAGTTTCCTGATAAAGATATAATTTTATAAAGACGAAACATTCATCAATATGTTATCTATATAAATATTTTCAATATAATATAATGATTTCATACATAAAAAATATATAATATAAAATAAATATAACATAATATATTCACACTGAAAATAAAAAATAAATAAAATGCAAGGGGTATCTGTGAATGAAACAGTTTTTTTACAACTCAGGCGATCCTTTAATTGTTATAAATTACAGTCCAAAATTTGTTTTTTTTTTAGAGATTTTTCTTATATTAACAGCATACCTACATTGACTTACATTGCTTTAAAATAAATGTTAATATCATCGATTTTTGTTCTTACGATTGTCCAGTCCTCATAGCAGGAAATCTTTGGTAATTAAACACTAGACACCATTGTCTAATGGACACTCTGTGACTATCCTTTTGTTTCTAGAAAATTGATATAAAAAAGGACAAATTCAGGACAAAGATGGCAGTCAGCAGTGAGTAGATTGAAATTATTAGTTGCGCGGTTATTTCTGTGTTTAATCTTCATAGAATTGAAAGCGCTAGTGTCGACAACATTTCAGAACTAATTAATGCTGCTCTGCTCAAGTGATTACAAACAATGCAAACTAAATGAAAATATAATCTCTGATATATACATTTCTTTTTTATAATGGAGGAGTACATTTTTAACCATTGTAGGAGAATTGTTGTTTAAAAATGGCAAACATTGATAACTCTATTCAGCAGCGAATCATATTTTGATTATCCTACTCGAAGATTATCCTACTGAACTAGGTTGGCCCTGATTCAAGATTTCGTCCAAAGCTCTACAATATCTTGCCCAGAGACAATTTTCTTTGGACACTATAATTGTTTATATTATGGCTTAAATTACTCATATGTAGTTAGACACAACACTGCCATACAAACAGTTCCAAGGAGATAAACTCTGAGTACAATAATGTATCTCTTTTAAACATCATAGACAACTGCTTCTTAAATAAAAAAAAAAAAGGAACTCTCAAATGTTCATATCTCCTCATTAGTCATGAAATATGAAAATAACGAACAGTATTTAATCTCGAAAGTCCAATGAAACGATACAAATTTGGAGCAGAGCAAACACGAACCTCAAAATTTAGAGGTGGGATCAGTTGCCATGATGCCAGCTACAAGTTTACTCATCTACAAGTTTATTTTCTTTAGAATCATTCTGATTAAATACCCTCTGAGGTTATATAAAAACGATACATGTATTCCTTATTGACAGTATCTTTGTAGTCTTTGGAGACCAGATTTTCCAACAAACTGTTGGAATCACGATGGGCACAAATGTGTTCCTTTATTAGCTGACCTGTTTGACATTTCGATATATCGACGACGTTTCATCAATTAAGAATACTCAATGAAACTTTTGTCTCCCAGTTGATTCGATACGAAAGAGCATGTTCTACCTATGAACAATTTCTAAAACGAGGCAGGACACATAAGTTGATAAAAAGGATATCAACAATCTCCTTTAAAGTCAACATTTCACAAATTATATGGTAGATACAATGACCTTGTTTGCAAATACAATCTGTCGTTAGGTCGAATGTTGACTCACGTTTTCATGCTGAATTGTCTACGGATTTCTCCGTTAACTGATCACGACAAAGGGAGACAGGGGATGCTTACTCCACCATGGCACCTGATCCCACCTCTGTTGTTTTCAGAGGTCCGTATTGGCTCTGGTCACTATTCTTATGGTTAAATTGGACTTTTGAGCATTATTACTGTTCGTTACCTTTGTATTTCATCTCTTTGTATAACTATTTTTTGCTATGTTATTAATCTAGTACCGTACCAGTGCTGCATTACGACTCGTAATAGTTTATTTAAATACGTAGGCTGGTTTCTTACGGTAGTACTGTCATTGTACAATTTTTTACAAGTACCAAATTCACCGATGGCCTCACTGTTTTGTTAAAATGCTGTATATATTTTTCAAAAATCGATGATTTGGGCGAGGGGGGTTGGGGGATACTTATTTCTTATCATTAACAGTGAATTTATTTCTATCAATGAAATGTGAGAGAAAATGTGGAAATGAAGCAGAATACCATCCTTACTTGTCAGTATTTCTTTGAGTAATATTCTTGGACCAGCATACATAGTTTCTATGCTGTTTTGTTTAAATTTGTAATTTATGAGCAAGATAGAAATTAGTAAAACAACTGTATACTAGTATTTTCAACAAAATATTCTTTTATTTTCTGATCCTGTTTAAGCACTTGTCTCGGGTTTAGCTGGAATGTGACTTTTTCGTAAGTTTATGTATGAAATAACTAATGTAAAATATGGTATGTTGATACCAGTCAGACATAGTATTCCACAGCAGTTTTATCTGTATATTTTAATTCGTTTGTATCAAAGTCATACAGTTTCTCCTGACCAGATTTATTCCTAGCACAAGTTTAAATCCTAAATAAATGTCGCACAATTGAAAAAAAAAGAGTAAAATGTTTATTGGAATTTTTAAAAGTAGTTCTATGTAAAAGTATTTGAGGTTGTCATCGTGTGGTTTTCGTTATCATAAGCTTCCCGGGAAGAAATTCTTTTTCTCCATTTCTGATACTCTGGTATGCCGATTATTAACACATTATACAGATGTACCAATGTAAGATGATTTTCATGTCACAGAAGTCGGCAATCTACATTCAGCAAGAGATATGATTTTTTTTCCTTTCATAAATCATTCAGTTAATTGGAAATCGACGAAACGAGATATTCTATATGACTAGATCAATTTAGACGTAGGGTTTCTGTGATTATACCGGCTTCCCACTGGTTGAGGAGATGTTTAGGTTTTATAGGGATCATATCATCTGTCTCATACCTGCAAGAGGAAAACCATTTTATTTGCTCTAATCATAGTGTTTCATTTCTATAAAACTGTGACATCTTGCTACCTTCTGGAGCTTGAAAACATGTAGCTTTAAGTACCTTTTATTAGTTTTAAAGACGTTAAATCTTGGAGAGTGTAGGTTTGATTCTCATGTGTTCCTTTTAATCAGGATACCTTTTCACAATGCAAAAAATATCCTTTGACAATCATTTATTTCTTCGTTTTTATTTACATGTAATTTTTGTGTGAATAAGTAAAACTAATCACACACTTTTTAACGAGCATTTTCTCCTAATGTTACATAATAGATTTTTGGTCATTGTCGTGTCTTTTGTAAAACATGGCCCCTGCTTATTGTATGCACCTATTTCTAGGCTTTTTAAACGACTTTGAAAATTAAAGAGTCCTTCTCATCACTGGATTTATAGAATTGGATTAATAGTTAGGCTAAGTTCAATGTAGTATTCGATATCATTTTTATTCAACATGTAGTATTTTTTTTTCTATCACGGAGTTTTGGTGAATTTATAGGAAATTCACAACAATCTGGATAAAAATTATACCTAAACACAACCATGATTCTCTTTATGACGTTAGAATCTATATTACCTTCCGACATTGCCTGTCGACTACCAAACGCTAGGTGACAAGTTTAATCAACATTATGTCATTAAAATGTGCACATTGAAATGAGGAAAATTCTTTTTAAAGTTGTATAAATTATTTCCATTAATTTCAATGAAAGAGTTTGCTTACGTTACAACACGCGTTGGGATACAAAAAGTGGAATATGAAAAAAAAAATCCAATGATCGAGTGATATTAACGGAATGACGGGGCAAACATGTGAAAAAATGAATATATTCAATCCATTTTAATTCAGTGCTTTTTTGGCACTAAATCACATTATAAAGAGAATAAATGTATTGTTAGTCATACATACATACATATATACAGAGAAGATATTAAATGTTTTGTAGTTGAAAATATTATTTCACGAGTGAGACAGGAATGTATATTTCCATAAGTGCGAAGCACGAATGAGAATATCAACAACTCCTGTCTCACGAGTGAAATAAATACAATATCTTACTACAAAACATTGGATTTTCTGTTTATTACATTTTCTTTGATTTTCCCGTTGCCTCTGTATTTTCGTAACGCAGTGTCATAGGCTGTGACGTCATATTTGAGCAGCTGAGATAATAATTAAGTTACGCGAAATCTTGCGAGATTAAAATTTGTAATTAAGGATTTTAACAACATATTTGGAGGAACTTTTGCAGTTAAAGTTCCCGTCAGGATGGCTTATTACCCTCACTATCTTATTACAGTCTAAGGGGTATTTTTAACAACACTCTTAGTAAAGGAAAGGAAAATAGAGAGTTTTGCAGCACTTTTAATATTTGTTCACAGTGTGAAAGAATATCATTTTGGTATTTCTTAACAGTGTGAAAGAATATTCCATTTTATTCCATTAATGAATTACATTATTTCACTGTTGAAAATGTAATAAATTATAATTGCTCGTCTTATTCTATAAAACGTGTTTAACTGCTATGTTATTGAGGAATGTTATTCAGAATTTGCTCCGGAGGGGGTACTTTTCACGTTGCTGTCATGAATTAACAGGATGTGGAGTGGTCAACATTAAAATTAACATAGCCAAATAAAATAAAAAATTACAGCATTATACCCTTGAATGCAGTAGTTTTCAATTTCGTTAAATTAAAGCTGAATGCCCAGCTCGATGGAACGTTATAGAATAAATTGGAAGATATAGTAGAGTGTGTTTTTGAGTATGAAATTGTTTGCCAATTTCTTCTTGAGATTAGATGATAAAATCACCCCCAAAATATAAGAGAAATCAAAAGTCTATGAAATGCTGCATCTTTTTATCAAACCTACAAATGCTACAGTTTAACTGGCCATTCAAAAATATTATTTTGAAATTCTTATGAATTGTATAACGCTTTTTCCTTTTAGGAACATGAATTGGAGATCGTGTGTTCTACTACTGACGACCTTGTTATCTGTGTTCACGTGCACGGCGGTGGCGGATGAGGGGGAGGGATGGGGAAACACAGACTACTACTCACAGGTGAGAGTATTACAGCAGCTAATAAACAGTGAAATAAACAAGGAACTGAGACAGAGACAATTCGAAAAGGATTTAGCCCGAATTTTAATGGATTCTGCAGAGGACCTACAGTCTGCGCCGCAAAAGAAGAGCTATCTCTGGTTCAAGTCGAAACCAAGTTCGATTCCCATTCAAACCAGAGTTTCCATAGGCCAGTCTCTGCAGCCACATCGTGAGGAGTTAAACAAACAACCCAAGGGATTATTTCGTTATGGAAGAAAATAGATTAAATCACTCAATGTTTTGAGATGCAGATTTCATCGCCGTTTTAAATAAATGCATTTTTGGTAAAATGAATCAATAAAAGTGATATCAACGCTGTATATGGTGTGTCTTCTAAGTTATAACACTTTGATTTTGAATGAGATATAGTGTTAATCTACTTGTTTGATGTTCTTATTGTATTGACAATTTCAAATTGAAAATGTTTCGATGGAAAACTGCAAAATAAAATCTTAATGACTATACCTTATGATATTGTCATAAAATCCAAGTTATGTAGAAGAAACGCACCCCATCTTTTCCTTGCAGTATACTTGCTAGATTGTGTTGAAATAACAAAAATGCAATTCAAATTAATTCGTTGAAGTACAGACTTATAAGATTTATGCTCATTTTTCAAGATGATGCCCCCATGAATTTATTCGTTTTCATTTGCGGCATATTTACATTTTGTGATGAAACCAACATAAAAAAAACTTTGTTGTGAAAATTTAAAATCACATTTTATTTCTAAAGTCTATGATATTAAAACGTCCTTTTACATTTCAACACTTTATACAACCGTTGCACACGATAAATTAAAAACAAGGTTTTTTCATATCAAAGACAACAGCTTCTATAATAATTATTTATTAGCCGACCTGCTTTTCTATTTCTTTAAAACAGAATTTATTTAAAAAAAAAACTTCTACATGAGAAGAGGAAAACGCTGTGGTATTCAACTCAACATTCATATATATGGACGAAGTTTTATCAACTAACAATAACTACCTTTACAGTTAGATTTATCGACGACGTATTATAAATTAACAATAGATATTTCCACTTATATGTCCACTTGATATATCCCAGTGAACTTGAAATAAAAGATACCACAGAGTCTGACACCTGTTTCATATCTAGACATTTTACCATAAAAAATCGTTAAGGGTAACCTAACTTTATGTTAAATGTAATGACTTCCACTTTTCTATCGACATCATCCCTTATTTATGTAGCAATATACCTTTATCACCTTCAAATGTTGTTGATTCAATGCGCAAGAGCATGCTCTCCGTATAAACACTTTCTAAAACGAGGCAAGCTATTGACATGTAAGTTGATGAAACAATGATATCAACAGTGTCGTTTGAAGTCATCATTTTGCAAGTTCTATGATCGATACAATGACCTTGTCAGCAAATACAATCTATCATTAAGTCAAATGCTGACTGACGTTTTTCATACTTATTCTTAGTCCATTATTTACAAACTGAACTGTCTACGGATTTTTCCCGATCATGACAGGGAGCACTTGGCGGGTGTGACCGGTCGGCAGGGGATGCTTACTCCTCCATGGCACCTGATATCGCCTCCGATGTTTTTGGAGGTCCGTGTTTGCTCTGCTCCCGATTTGTATTGTTTAAATGGACTATGAAGTTGAATACTGTTCGTTATCTTCATATTTCATCCATGATTATTCATTGATGTAGTGAATATTCAAGTTTGTTTAAATATATGGTTGGTCACAATAAGGGATCAGAATTTCACCTAAGGATATACATATATATTTTTTTAAGAATCTAAAGAAGAAAAACAGGCCCACGATTATCATATTAATCCTCATATTGTGTAGAATCTAGTTTATTGAAGTCTTTGCCCATGCTCCAACGATACACTCAACAATAGGAAACAATATTTGACATGGGAATAGAAAAAAAATCTTTAAAATTCTCCTTCACAATCAGGGTCAAAGTGATTTGGGTGAAGGTTGTTTTCCATTGGCCTTTTGTTGTTTGAATAAACTTCGTTTTTAGTGCATCTGTGTCCTTTATCATCGGCCATTAAATTCAGCATTCTTTGTTTAAAAAGAGAAAAGGATGGCACCTGTGATGGATTTTTATATCCATTCTTTAAAATATTCACGATCTTGAATTTTTATCGCCGCCTTGCCAGTAGTCAAAGAAATACAAACCAATTTACAGGGCGGCGGGAAGCATCCATTGATGGAAATCCCGAGACAAATAGAGAGCAATTGCTAAAGAGTGTGACTTCTGGATTTATGAGCAACCTATGGAATAAGTTTGTTGTTAACCTACACTGGACTGAAGTAAATAAACTAATACACAGCCTGACAAAGGAACTGTAGCTATTTTGACTTCAATAAAAGCAAACAGATTGTATCATTTTAGTGCACAGTGAGACCTCGGAGGCTGACGGGCATTCCGAGATTAATGAACAAAATAACACACACATACGATAAAAATGAATAAATAAATACTAGTACTTCATTAACTTTTCTTCCTAAAACTATTTTCTTCATTATTCTAAAATAGAATAAAACAAGATGTGTTTGTGAAACACTGATGCTCCCGTATGGCAACTTATAGCAAAGGTTAAACTTTCTCAAATGCAAATCAAATATGTTGATACCCAACGTAAGGTCTTGTCTCGAGGAATAAACCTGTGAAATATGAAAGGCCTAGCAGCAACCATTGAATAGATATGGAAAAGATTAAAGTTTTTTTTCAAAAGTATGTCAAACATCAAGGTCAAGGTCAAATGGTCAAAATCAATGGTGCGAAAGGAAAGGCCTTCTCCCAAGAAATACACAGGTGAAATATGAAAGCCGCAGCACCAATCGTTCAAAAGTTATGGCCAAGGTTAAAGTTTTCCAAAAGTAGTTCAAACTCCAAGATCAAGTCAAAGGGTCAAAGCTGTTGGTATCCAAAGAAAGGTCTTGTCTCAAGAAATACATATGTGAAGTATGAAAGCCCTACCACCAACCGTTCAAAAGTTATGGCCAAGGTTAGAGTTTGGTAAAATTTTGCAAAACTGGGTCAAACTCCAAGGTCAAGGTCAAAAGGTCGTATATGGTGGTACCCAAGGAAAGGTCTTGTCATAGTGAACACTCATGTCAAATATTAAAGCCTTACCCTTGACAGCGCAATAGTTATGAGCTAGGTTAAAGTTGGCTACAGACAGACAGGACAAAAAACAATATACCCCGGGATCTTCCGATCCAGGGCATAAATATAAATAATATTTAAAGTTGATTTGAGACTAGTACATATCACATCTCGTCTTATCCAATAATCCTTTGCACCTCATTTGTGGTGTTACAGTTTGAACGTTTTTATTCAGATATGAGACAGTAAAAGCAAGCTTACATGCCATAACTGATATTGTAGCTGAATTAATGCAGAAGAATATTAAAAAAAAATCTACTGCATTTTCTCTAAAAGCGAAAATGACTTTAAAAAAATGGGTCATGCTCCATGTAAATGGGGTTAAATACTTTTAATTTTGATTATACTATGGGGTCGACTTTTAAACAGAAATAAGTGCCTGTTATATATTGCCCTGAACTAGTGTAGATCCAAAAATCCAATAAGGAAATCCTCTCGAGATGGCATCTTCAGAGTGCGGGTTCTGACATTTTTGACTTTCTGTTCTAGTTATTATGCCTCTTACAGATGAATGCAATTTTCACTTTAGTCTGAAAGAGCGCATCATAGCTCCGGGGCCTGTAATAGACACACTGTGCACTTTGAGAGCGTTTTCTTTCAAATTTCAGTAATTTTGTTTTTAATTGCTTTTCTCTCTAGGCGATTTCGATCGATCAGTTGTTAATTTAAAGTAAAAACAATATATATACAGGCGCGGACGCCGGAATTTTTTCCAGGGGGGGGGGGGGGGGGGGGGAGGAGGTCCATCCAAGTCAAAAAAATTCCAATCCAGAAATTTCTTGACAAGCAAGAAGGCAAAACAAAAACAAAAACCGAACACAACAAAAAAAACAAACAAACAAAGAAACCAAAAAAAAAAAAACAAAAACAAAACAAAAACAAAAAAAAAAACAAACCAAAAAACAAAAACAAAACGAAACAAAAAAAAAACACAAAACAAAAAACGTTAACCCCTTTCCTAGACGTATCAAACCTAAAAAAAAAAAAAAAAAAAAAAAAAAAAAAACCCGGAAAGTCCATTTCCAAACGTAAAAAATACCTACATGTATAAATACCTATTTCGTGGTGATGGTGGCGGGGTCCATGTTTTTTAGGTGGGTCCAAAGTCATTTCTTATTTGCTTCAGTATATACTTTTAATGACTTTGCAAATTCCAAGGGGGGGGTCAGGACCCACCCACCCCGACCCCCTCTAGATCCGCGCTTGATGTATACTCTCAATTCTGCCTATATATTTTACTTACCACAGGTGACATTTAAAGATCAAGTTGATGTACACTAGATTGCATAGAGATACATGTTTAATGTATTGTACTGCATATATCTTATAAAAATGGTGCAAACAAATACAAGTGAAATGCGTTTTCATGGAAACTATAACTGTGTTTTATTGTCTTTCCCCGTGAATCAATCTAATGAAAAATAATGGAAACAGCGGTAATATTCCTTTGAATGACTGAACTACCTGTATTCATTACCTGTGTAGTTGGTGATTCCCATTATAACGATCTTATTCTTCCTGATAACGATGGCCATATCAAACAATTTACATTTTCTCGTCAAAAATGGCTCACTCGGGTATGTTTTCATTAACTCTAGTTTCTTTTATTGAATACGTGGTAAATATTAATTGATATTTAATTGATATTAATTGGATTAAAACAAAAATAAAATGCAAAAGTCGCAAATGCAAAAAAAGTCGACTGAAGTAGAAAAACCTAAACACAAAATAAAGAACAAAGAAAGCAGGCGGATTTATTAATTTATTAAGTATAACCTAAATTATATTTTTGTCAGTTGGTTGTCAGACACCTTTGGGGGCAGTTTCAGACTGCCTATTAGACGTAGAGTTTGTCACACCAAAATCAAAGGTAATACATGTATATGACATTTGTGAAATGTGAAAGAAATTTTAGTTCATATCTCTTTGGATGTTTTTAGAAAGGCATAGTAAACCAGTGTAAAATATGACCATTCTTCTTTAGTCTCAACTGTTGCCTTTATCTGTCATCTTTATTTCCATTCCTACCCCTTTCTTCCTTGGAATAACTTTACAGACGAAAAATTACAATTATTCAAATTAATTATTCAAAAATGTCTTACAATGACCCTCACTCTCAATCAACTTTTCTGGATCCATCACTTAATCATATTTTTATGTGTAAAGATGAATAATCTTATATTTCCTGTCTTTAATCAATGTTTCCGAATGCAAATAAGAAGTTCGTATTCTCAACAGTACCTTAACATGTTTTTAAAATGGTTTCGTTTCTTTCTTTCATCTTTTTAAAAATTTAAACTTTTTAATTTAACATTTCTGTTTCAATCTGATGCGTTTGTATAAAGTTTGATTAAGAGGCGTTTAAATTAACGTTAACTATTACTGTAAGGACTTTATCTTTTGAAAAAATCTATACAATCTTATTGTTAATTTAGAACATGCCCCAGAAGCAATAGTAAATGGACTGGCTACAGCGGAAGTAATTAACACTTTTTTTAAAAAACAAAATCAAAGTTTAAACTTAACTATTCATTTGCAAGAAAGAAAGTCAAATTATGCCCGAAAAAAAGAACGGAATTTGAAGACTTATAAATGATATTGCTAAAAGTAAATTTCAAAAGATCTCTAGCAGTAAATATGGATCACGCAAAAGATCCCTTTGCCAATGATATACCTCACGGTTGATTAGCTCGCTAATTGAACATTTAAACATTTAAACCGTGAAGTGACCATCCTCTGACATGCCTCCGTGGAAATTTATGCGTGTTAATGTGTAGTTCTATTTGTAAGACATTAATCAGTATAGGATTATACCAGTAAATCCTTGTCAGATCTTAGAATGTCCCCTAGAAAAGTCCAAAAACTGTCATCTATATAGTTATTATATACAGATTAACTTACAAGGAATATTCTTCTGTGATGAATTACGGAACAAAATAGATCATTCTGCCAGTTCTATTCTTCGTTATACTACAAGATTACTTTTCAAGTATTGCCTGAACAGGATTTTTTTTCTATTTGTGAAAGAATATATTCAACATACTTTAAGCTGCCTGAGTCTTTATTCCTGGAAAACTTTTAACCCAAAACATAGAGTATATGTCACCTTTATTTAAACGTTTTCTATCGTAAAATAGCCGAAGTCATGGAATTGATATTATCTGGTTAAAAGAAATACTTCAAAATAAATGAGCTTTACACAGTACCCAGATCTGCTTTAAAAGGTCTCTAAAAGAAAATCAACTGACTTGTTAACAAATACATTGCAAAGCTTGTAAATATTGTTTACAAGAAAAGGTGTACTGCAGTGTCATTTAATAATTTCCGAACTATAGTGCTTTTGCTCTGATTTTAGATATTTTGTGAATATCTAAATTTTTATTAAAGCATGATTGCATGACATGCTTTTTCTTTTTAATTAAATAATGATGTAGACTTTAGTCAATTTTAATTAACACTTTCCGTCGACTGTAAATATTGGCCCTGCTCATGGACTCATGTACCAACAGTAAGAGCGTCTACTGATTTTCAAGAAAATACATTAAAACAACTCGCCTCTCTCCAGGTTTTACCCAGGATAAGACTGCTACTGCCAAAAACCTAAATCAGGATAATTATCCTCATTCACCTTGCACTGACGCTTTATTGAACTTTCAAAATTCTTGATATGAAATATATTTAATAACAAAATAATAATTTAATAATTCAATGCGCATTAACAAATTGTTTCTGTTATTAGAAATATTTGTGAGGGTGGCCAAATTGACAAAATTAAATTTTATTTGACAGAAATGTCGATGTTCACAGACATGCTAAATGCTGCGCTTTTAGGGAAAATGGATGTCGTGGTTTTAATTTGGAAGCGACTGAAGGCCCAGAGTGGGTGCATTAAAATTATTAATATGGCATGTAAAACAATACGAGGTTACGTGATAAATATTCCAAATGAGAGAGAGAGAGAATAAATTTAGGAAATTTTTGACAAGAATCCATTTCACTTCTGTTTTTCTCAGCAAGACTAACACTCTTTAAAAAACAACAAACAGTCTTAGTCTACAACAAACAGTCTTAGTCTACAATGACCTTTTTTTCAAATCTTATTTAATTGATCCAGATGAATCGATCAACAAATATATCAGATTTGTCGCAGACTTATGAATTTTTTATGTAGTAAAATGTCAAGGTGGGGGATCAAATTAAATACATGCCGGAAAATAACTTCATAATTCAACAATAATATTTCCTCCTCCTTTTTTTCAAATCACGTACACAATTCATCAAAGTTCTCCGTCATCTTAGGATATTGTGGTTCCCAGAATAAATTGGTTCATGGTTATAAAATGGTTTTACAAGCAGATAATGACCCTAAGAAACTTTTATTTGATTTCGATACGGAAGGGAGCTTCATAACGTCTTTGTATAGTAATTGCTCCGATCAACAAGTAACATATACACAGTTATAGAAATCTGTGTCGTTCATTTCACCTCATTTACCGTACCTAGCGGATTGATTCTATTTCCGTTCTCTGAGAAATAAAATGTCGGGGGTGAAAAAAGAAATAATTGTTAATTCTCATCTGGAAAAAAATCCCGGACGTCGACAGGATAAATTGAACAAAAATTTAATTTAAGATCTTGTTTCATGTCACAATCCACTAAATAAAAATGGAAGGAATTCTATTAGGAAAGAGATTGTCAAAATGATTTTTAAAAAATCCCACGTCAATATCGGCATGAATTACTTTTGGGCATATTATTCATAAATAGGTGTGTTCATTTGAAAATGTTTTACAATAAGAAAAAATAGACAGTTTGCCAGCAATTAGATTTTGATATTAGAGCTCTTTTTGTGTGTTATCGCCTGGGATTTTTCCCCTCCAAGACCTAAAAAACGCACAATGTCATGTTCAAGATGTATTAATTTAAAAAGATTCAATGCGTGGAAAACATTTTTAAACATTCCATACCATTATGTTCCGATTCCTGTCCTTTAAAGTTTTGCACACAATAGATGGTATTTCCCTCAACATATTTTTGTGATCGGCTGCAACCGTTAAAAAACTTTTCTTTATGTGTAGAAGAATAGTAGTACTCATTTGTATGATAGTATAGCATGATTTATAGGAATATAAACATTATATAGTGAATATTCAATTAATATTAATTCCAGTTTGAAATGTACAAAGTAGAAACACGTTCTTCAATTCTTTTCCAAAATTTGCATATAGAATTGTTCTTGTTGTGCGGGCATCATTTAGTTATTTTATACGTGTATTATCTCAATCAGTATAATATACACGTAGCTACTTTGCTCTACATTTAATCCCTATAAATTAACATGGATAGGATACATGTATTATATCATTTTGTTGATTGGTCGATTTTTTACATATCCTACACAAGCCTTAATTGTTTACAAAGATAATCTGTCAAATTGTAACTGCATAAAGACTGTTTTATGTGCTATGCTTATCCAACACAAATTCTACATGAAATATGAGGATAACGAACAGTATTCAATCTCGAAAGTCCAATGAAACGATACAAATTTGGAGAAGAGCAAACACGGACCTCAGAATTTAGAGGTGGGATGTAATAACATGTATTAACTTTATTTGAACTTAGCAGAACAAGAAGATTATAAGTTGGTTTAAAATGGTTTAATTTTAATGATGAGTTCTTTCCTAAGTCTTTCTGTAATTCTAATTTTCATTATTTTTGCACACATTTGGAGATACACACGTATCATTCTTCGATGCTCTGTGAGACATGGATTTAATTTTTTCGTATCACAAAAATATAACTAATTGTGATAAGAAAAATAGATAAGATCCTTAACATAAAAGCATACTAGTGTCAAGTTAAGTTAGTGTGTTAGTGTGGACAGAATGCTAAAAATTTATTGTCTTGGATACTAGAAGTTACGTTATAAAACACAAATCAATTTGTAAATCAATGATCTTCTGTGTCTCCAAACATCTAGAAATAGATTTCGTGTTCTACATGATAATACCCGGACTCTGACTTTGGTTTGGCCATAGAACAAAGCTGGATGCTTTTGGCGTCCTGTTGTCCAAAATAAGCAGATGTCTTCTCCTGATAGTACGATGGCTCGATTCGATTTATGCCTGGACAAACAATTTTAATTATCATTAACTTTTTTTTTTTTTTTCAAAATTTACAATTATTCCAAAATATCACTTATTTACAAAGCATAAACACAACTTTCCTGACGGAACAAAATGGAGGTTAATACAGTATACCTCGTTCCCGACTCCTTGCCGTAATCTTGCAGATAGTTACATGAGGGTTGAATCTTTCATCTGTGACTAAAAAACCACATCTCTGGAACGATTCTCTTAAATCTTCTACAAAAAAATCCCTAACGATTGGGATAATGGTTTAAAACCTATCACATTTTAGAGCTTTGAATCTGAAACATACACTTACCCACGAGGTCATTCAATCTTTGATTGTCTGTTACTGCAGCGTAAACAACTTGGTCCTCAAAGTTTCCCATTGTTGAAACGGTTAAAGTAAGTGGCGAAAAATTCCTCAATTTATCTTGAAACCTGTTCATAGCTCTTTTTGCTCTACGTAAAAAAGTTTAATTGTGTGTGTGTGAGAGAGAGAGAGAGAGAGAGAGAGAGAGAGAGAGAGAGAGAGAGAAGAGAGAGGACTTTCTTTAAAAAGTCGTTTAAAATTGAATCTATTCATAATTCTTACTCTAAGACCCTCCTTTCATTCTCTAGGTGGTATAGCCCCAGTGTTACATGACGAGTCTCTAAATTCTCCATCGTATGGGACAAGTTCATTTTCTTCTCTAAAATGTAGCTCTGTATCCCCTGGATATTCTGTTTTATCTTGAAAGAATGACATTCAAAACATAAAATATTGTAGTACCCTGGTGTCAAAATCATAAGTTATATCTTCAAATTTCAGGAAACGCAGTGCTATACGTTTTGTCAATTTAGGTTTTATTCTGAATCATGGTTAATGGAGCATCCAAAGCAAAATATTCTTTATAAGTGGTTTTGTCTTTCCAATGATGTTCAGTGTAATGCATATTACGTTGAAAAGTCCACAGCTCATTCATCTGTTAAACTGGGTACAATCAATTTTAAAACAGGAGGATACTGACAATTATTGTGATATTTTAGGGGCTTCAACTTTCTCATTTAAAGTCAGTATTTTGCAAATTCTATGGTCGTTATAATGACATTCTTTGTTAAGGTATGTCACTCATTAGCTTTTGAGAGGTCAGAACCTTAACTTCAAAATTATTCATTACTATTATTATTTATCACGCGAACCATTTATTTCGCTTTGAATTTGTATAGAATAATTCCTTAGTCGCGAAAATTAATTATCGCTGATTGATTTTAAACTGACGAATCGCGAAATAAAAGATGACGCGAATAATAGTTGGTTTAGAATATTTGAATTAAGCAATGCAAATTATGCAATATTCAATTTAAAAACTTTTACAAAATTATAGAGAAACAAGATTTTTGTATTCATATGAAGCAGAATTTGTTCAAAATCTTTTAATTGAAAAGAAGAAAACACTTGCTGTGGCTTTCAACTGGACATTTAGATATATCGACGACGTATTGTCAATTAAAGCTATATATGGCGTATCTGAGCTAAAAAATAAAAATACGAGATTGAATGTACATAAACATGATACATGTAATTTACGTTCAAATTAAAATTTTCACGGATTTTGAACTTTTTTGAATAACCTCATGTTTCCATAGTTAAATTGACTTTTAACTGTCTGTTATATCAATGCAGAGTCGGTAAATAAATCGGTTATTGTTTTAATTTTCTAATATCTTTGAAATGCGATTGATTTGAATTGTGCAATTTACAGGAAAGTCTAATCTTTATATAAAGAAATAAAACAAATAGAGAGATCTTTTAAATTTTAGTTAGTCTGAACTTATAAAAAATACGCCATATATGACTTTAACAATGGTTATTTCCATTCTTATGTCGACACGAAATATCACGGTGAGCTTGAGATAAAAGATAACACAGAGTCTGACACATCTGTTTCATATTTGAATATTTTATTAGAAAAAGACGTTAATGATAATCTAACAACAAAGCTCAATGATAAACGTGATGACTTTAACTTTTCAATCGTACAACTTCCCTTACTTATGCAACAATATACCCTTATCACCTGCATACGGGGTATATCTCTCTCAGTTGATTCGATACGCCAGAGCATGCTCTACGTATGAACAATTTCTAAAACGAGGTAAGTTATTGACAAACAAGTTGATGAAACAAGAATATCAGCTGTCTCGTTTAAAGTCATCATTTCGTAAGTTCTATGGTCGATACAATGACCTTGTCAGCAAATACAATCTATAATTAAGTCAAATGCTAACTGACTTTTTCATACTACTTGTTATGCCATTATTTACACACTGAATTGTCAACGGATTTTTCCGTTATTTTCCAGTGATGACAAGGAGCACACGGCGGGTGTGACCGGTCGGCAAGGGATGCTCACTCCTCCATGACACCTGATTCCACCTCTGAAGTTTTAGAGGTCCGTGTTTGCTCTGCTCTTATTTTGTAATGTTTAATGGACTTTTGAGCTCGAATTCTGTTCGTTATCTCCACATATTCCATTTACGGGGGAGTATTTCTTGTTGTGGAAGGATATTTAGAAGAAAATTCTTTAAATCTACACATTTGTTTGATTTATGATCTTGGAAGTAGCCCTGCATATTTATACTATATTTATACTAGGAGAATTTTTTTTTGTAATTAAATGCTAGGAATGAGAAATATAGGTTTCAATCAATACTTTTAAAACAAGTTTTACACATTCAGTTAACAGACTTTACCAAAAAATGAAGATATATTCAAGAAGTCAAGATAGAATTTACATTTTTTTTGCCTGAAAATCGAATATTTTGACCAATATCTCAAAATTTACATCACTGTTCTCAACTTTTTCTTTCGTTATTTTGAATTACACGATACATTCAATCGATTAACATTAAAGCTTGATATAAGAAAATATTTTTATTGATTGATTATATTTAGATTTTTAATACCCCAAATATGATATTTTTAGTGCTGAAAGGTCACACAATAATTTACGCGTATTAATTTGGAGAATTTTTAAAATAATAAATGTTTTCAAACTACTTTACATGAAATAAGATTATATTTATTGCTATGATTACATATGGTAAAATACGTTAAAGGTTAAAGTGATTATCCTAAATGTTTTAATTTAAGCGCAAAAAGGTCAAATTAATTGCAGTAAAATGATCACTGATCCCCAATTGTCTTTGGGATTTTGAGTCATGTTATATGAGCAGTTATCTAAGGTAAACTTTTCAAAAAATCCTTGATATATGCTAACATTTTCACAAAAAATCTTTTCCTTACATTCCCTAGTAAAGTGATACTCCCCAATATGACAAGCTTTTAAATGCATAGTAAAGTCAAGAAGTATTAAGGTATTTGGAAAAAAAAAACTGCAATCTGGATGAAATCTTTGAAATGAATTATTTAATCTATTATTAATGCTGTTGTTGAGTTAACCACAACAAATTTCAGCTCGTCGCTTTACAATTATGACAAATAAATCGCGGAAAATATAAAGAATTGCAGCACTTATCATACAATGGGCGTTGAAAATATGTTTACACTGAATTTAGAATTTTAACTTGGTTATGTCTTTCCGACACTGAAATTTAAAGTTGATCTAAATAGTGCAAGTATGTTTACTAAAAGCAAATGACTGCCACTTCACATGACCAGTCTAGATAGAAAATCTCATCATCCTCAATATGCAGTTTTTATATCCGATATTAGAAAAGTCCTAAAACAATCGCCCATTTTGATTAAAATTGTATATTAATCACAAAAACACCGATATTTCCATTTTGCAACTTTGAACTGTACTGCGTTTCTTAAAGATGAATTATGACGAAAACATATATTAATCAGGTTCAAAAGTCCAATTAAACAATACAAATAATGAGCAGATCCATCACATACCTCTGAAAACAGAGGTGGGATCAGGTGCCATGGAGGAGAGAGCATTCCCTGTCGACAGGTCACGCTCGCCGTGTGGCCCGTCATGATCGGTTAAACAGATAAATCCATACACAGATCAGTGTGAAAATAATGGCCTAACAATTTGTATGAAAGACGTCAGTCTACATTCGACTTCACGACAGATTGTATTTGCTAACAAGGTCAAAGTGCTTTAGACTAGAGTTTTGATGCTACTGAGTTATAAATGCAGAAACCTAAAACGGATAACAATTTATCGAATTGCTCATATTCGACAAGATTAAATGCCAGCATTCTTAACATTTTTGATATTTTATGCATATGTGAATTAAGTTTAATATAGCCTTTTGTAGCTGAAAAGTATGAATCGAATTCCTTCTGCGATGTGAAAATATAACGAAAAACATCAATTTGAGATGGTATGGAGTTGGCAGTATTAGATTTATTGCCTGCCATATGTATCTCTACCCAGGACTCAAATTGTTCTTTTCTCTTTAATATTCACGAAAATATTAACAGCAATGAAGGAGAAACTTTGAGTAGTGTACAAAAACATTTTTGAAAAGAGGTGTTAATAAAATATGTATACAATTTAAAAATCCTCAACTGACCTCAAGACGTTTAAGAAATTTTAAAATCACAAAATTTTACCAAAACCAATAGCATCAAAACGAACGACTTTTCAACACTATATATAACTATTCCCCACGATAATTGAAAGATGAGGTTTTTGGCATCATCGACAACTGCTTCTTAAATAAAATATAGCTTGTAAATCTGCATACCTTGTCACTAGTCATCTTCAAACTTATTTTGTTGAAAATCATTCTGATTCTAAACACAAGTACTCCGAGGTTGATATTTAAAAGGTGCTTGAGTCTCTCATTGACAGTATGTAGGTTTTGGAGACCAGGTCTTCCAATCTGTTAGAATTCCCAGGGGTATTATTGTGCCCCATTATATAAACTTTTTGTATCCATATGAAGGAAAATATTCTTTCAAGAAGCACAGGCGCAGAGCCTTGAATTTTGTCTAGGGGGGGTGTCTACATCACCTCTAACAGATGTCAGAGAAAAAACAAAATAAAAACCCCCACACAATCAACTTCATCAAACTTGAGAAACCTATTTCGTTGTGTGTGTATTGGGGGGGGGGATAGAAAACACTTTCCAAAGTCTACATTTTTTCAGATTTAAATTTCATTACCAAATTCTTTTCAATATCACTTTTAAAACGTTGAAAACAAATCATTATTCCTTTTGCTTAACAAATGAGAAAGTTTTTTTTTTGAAGAAAGTCCACATAGATACCCCTTTCATCATTATGTCATATTTTTAGGTATTTAAGCAGAAGAAAAGTATTGCAGTTTAACAATTTTTACTACATTTTCAACAGTGAAATACTGTAATTTTTTTTTAAGGAGAGTAATATTTTGCTTGAAATAATATCAAAGTGACATTTTGAGACAGTGTGAATAAATATCAAAAGTGTTGCAAAACTGTAGATTTTCCTACCAGTCACGAATACCAGCCAGGTCTGT